GTCAATGGAACTCTCCGCACAACCGTTCAATTAGATAGAGGAAACGACGAAATCCCACTTCTTATTCCACCATTCAGAGCTTTTCTGAGTAGCACTGGATTTTCTTTAACTCTTTAACTCACATCGTTACACTGTCCAAATACCAGTCCCTAAGTCCTTCTACAGCAATAGCTTCTTTCCATGGAGTGCAGAAATATGGAACTCTCTCCCTGACAAGAGTATTGCCCGCCGAATGCAACCAAGAATTTCTCTGCATTATTCATTACCTCTCTATGCATTTTTCCAGTAGCTTCTGGGACATAACTTCCTGTGTCTGACCTTTCGTGGTCAATAGTCAATTAATCCCCCATCCACGTGGGGTCATTTAACTTGACTACGGACACACAAGCAAACACATAGGCAAACACACACACACACACGGTGGATAAAATCACCATATATGTTATCGACTGATGCAGGCTCTATCATTGCTACTTCCCGACAGTAGGCGTTGCCGAGACGCACGAAAAATATCGTGAAACACGGCTGCAATTGGAAACGTCCTTGCGCAACTTATCATTACTCAAAATTGCGCTCGGAATGATTATAGTGAAAATCAGCGGCTCAGCATATATGTATTCCCCGAGGTTGAGCCATGCGATTTAGACTAATGGTACTACAATCATCCGCTGGAGAATGGTTGGGAATCGTTAAAATCTTCGTGATGAAATTGCCTTCTCGAGTGTTAAATGTTTGCATTGACAAAAGACATGTATGATTAAGTGCTGAAAACAACCTCTTGAGCATTGAAGTGCGTCAGTCAATGATCAATCGGTACTTATTTATCACTGGAAAACTTGAAAAGTAGCAGGAAGATCCAGATATTTCTAGGAGCCAATACTTTTGAAGTAGTGTACTTATGATCTCTGAAACGATTTCTTGTGCGTTTACGTCACCCACGCCAATCACATTCAGTTTCTACAGACCAGTTTCGAACCTATGAAATGGAAGAAACTAATGGAAAGATTAACTTCCAGTGAAAGTTAATCTGTGACATTAAGTAACGTTCATGATTTAAAGCGCTACATGTGTACATCAACTTAAAGTAAAGTTTACTCAAGTGTTTACCAGTAAACTGTCGCTTAGTTCTCTGACTTGGTTCAAGTTGGAATGACCCGAAGCACGAGTCAGGTGACATGGGTGGAAGTGTGACGTCAGCAGCGGGTCAAAGGTGCCCGGAAGTTGGTATCGGCCCCCGGACCCCGTACGTTCCGCGTGAGGGATGGTCTATGTGACACACACATATGGCCTATTTCACTCGTCTTATGCTGAGCTCACATTTCCAAACCGGGGCCCGGTCGGGCTGTTTCGATTAACGAAAAATCAACAATTATATCAATAATATACGCAAATAGTTCGCATAATGAATTTTTTGTGCTTTGTTGTCTTATATGTCATACTTTTCGTTCCATAAGACTGCCCGGCCGGGCCACGATTTGAAAATGTGACCTCAGCATAAGGAAGTGGTATAATTCTGCTCTGTGTTCATGTTTAACTTTTATATTCATTATTTCGACTTTAACATTCTAGTAGAGCGTGGGTGTACCTTGCAGTGATTCGTTATCAATATTTCATACTTGTATGCTTCAGTAACCATACCGAAGAGTAAACCATACCAAGCACCTGTTTGATGTTAATGTATCCAGATATATGCGCCACCATGAAAATAGCACTCATTAAGCCCTGTTCATACATGAACAATGATACAAGCTTATCTCACTGTAATTACAGTACTCTTACTTTCGGTACGTTTATCGTCTTCCGTTGTAATTGAAACCTTTACGGTGTAGATCTTGCGCAAAGCACAAAATTAAGATAAAGCACCGTCTGATTACCCCAAGAAGACACGTGAGCGGTATATTATGAGCGGCAAGTGCACCGGGCTTTCCCCTGCTTCTTCCTTGCCTAATCTATAATGTAAGAAAACAAATTGAGGATTTCATACCATAAGTATTTGAAATGGTTGTAAATTGTTCTTGTTTTATTCATTATTGTGGATTTCTCACTTATTCTGTATGTGCAGTTTCCCACTTCGCCCCATAAGACAACAGACACGAATATAGCAGGAAATTGCAGACAGGAAAATGAGGTGACCTTTGACAACTTATACGTAATACGCCTCCTCACAGCCTGCAGGAGACCATTTTACCTCCAATTCGACCTTCCCATCAGTCTTTGGTTACATCATTTCACCCTCGCTTCCTGTTCCTGTGACTCTACTGCATTCAAATACCGTATGATGTACTTGTTGGTTCACGCGAAATTAGTACTTTCCACTACAGGCTGTGACCGCTGAGCGACAAAATATTTGCCAGAACGTTCAACGAGTCCATAGATAAACATCGAATTTGTTACTTTTTGTGTTTCTTTTTCTTTTATGATATACTTTTGCATGTGCATCATATTTCATTTTTAAAATATCATAGAAATCCAATTTTGGTCACTCAGTGGAAGGGAATGTGTCGTCACGCATACTGTATAAAGAAATATGAGAACTCTGCAACGATGAAGGGAAATGTTTTATTTATGACATGAGTGAAGGATTATAAAGTATGGGAAAAGCAATCAGTGACAAGATGTGAAAAACAGTTTCCGGTGTGGCACTTATGCAACAGAATAGCCAGCAAAAATTTATACAGGAGAGTTGCGGAAATATGGCACATCAAAAACTCACCTACACATCCCCAGACACATCCCAGGCCTTCCGCTGATGTACAACACGACGCTTCGTGTACGGTAATAATCCTTCCTGTTACTTAATCACGGTACTTGTTACACAACGGGGAAACTTGAATCGTGCCGGTAGTCGTAAAGTACAACACCTAACCTATTATCAGCTGAAATTGCACTTCAATTGTAAGTGCCGATAATTCTAAGAGTGCACAGCAAGTCGTGCGAGAATTGCCGTTGCAATTTTCTCTTCGCTGTTGAATCATGTTATTAGTGCAATGGTACGGGCTGGGGTGTTAGAGGATACTTTCTGATCGCTGTGTCTCTCTGGAAACTGTCTTATCTTGCTTGAAATGTTGTTTGTTTAACACTCAGACGAAGTGTACTTTTTTTAAAATACACACCGAAGTTCTGGTGGTTTAGAAGACCTGTGGATCATTTCAAATACGTATAACATCGGGCGCCATGGTTACAGTCGCAGTACAATCGTCGTACGATTGTCACGGGATTGCAAACAAATTATTCTTTGGCATGTCGTGTATATGTCGTACAAAATGCACTTGTCTCCTTACGGAAAGACTGTCTTGGATTCTTATCGGCGGGAGGTTCTGTCACAGCCTGGTTGAGAAATCTGCGATCTCAAAATCTTACGACGGCTTACGACGAATGTGACCGCGTTGATACTGTCACATTTCAAATTCAACACCTTGACAGGGAAGACAGGTTTCCGAGGCGGGAGGCGTTTATTTATGATCCTTTCCCTAATACCAATACACACAGCTTTACTTATCATGGATCAGTGATTTAGCTCAGTGTGCCCCAAAGCGTCCTGTAAAACACATAAACGCCAAGTTCTAAGCCACCGTTGTATATCTCCTGTCACGGACAGACACCACTCTCCTCTCAAAGTTGATACAGCCATGCAGGCGCGACGGGCTTGAAGTGATTTCGGCGGCACACATGGGCCAACTAACATTTTATAATCCCATAGGGATCACAGTTTAACGATGGAGCGTTTGAGAAGAGCGTGTGCTTGGTAGATAGAGCGAAAGTTAGCAATATAAAAGTAAGAATAGGCTACAAATGATTTCAATATGCATTCAAGGGCTTCTAGGAACCGGTATACGATTACTCAAATAAGACTCGATTGCACATTATTTTAGCTGAAATACTACCTTCGGCTGTTAATAACTTTATTCTTTAGTACGCCGTACGTGCAATTGTCGTAAGGAAAACTGCTTACTACTTAGAATTCATGTTACTGCTCTGGTTCAAAATGATGTGTTTTGGGTTTAGTTCCATTGGATTTCTACTTTCAAGAAAAATTGACCGAGAAAAGACCATGTTTCAGGTTTGCGCCAGAGTCAGTAGTGTAACGATTGGTTTCGACCAACATCGCTTTGTGTGGACGGAGCAGATTTCGTGTCTGTCGCCCGCGGGATGCATAATTGGACGCTTTCGTCGTGAATCCATACTTGATGGTGCAGTCAGTTGTAAGATTTGTATGGTAGGCTTTTACGGGGATTCCAAGTATTTGCCAGTTTTAATGTCGGATTTGAACGGCGCGGCAGTTTGATAAGACCTGCATGTAGCGGTATTAACGTGTCAGACGTCAGCACCAAACATCAGTGAACAGTAAAGCCGGCAACATATGGAGAGCCAAAATCAGAAATCCAAGATCTAATGCCTCTGTGAAATATTCTTGAGAATTCCTCGTTGTCTTTATTATTGTGAACTTTTCGCTGATTGTGTCGAAAGCGTTTTCAAACTGGCAACAGACGGTATGTACTAGCAGGAAATTGACAAAAATGGAACCTTTTTTGGGACCTTTGGTCTAAATTCCTGTCAGTGTCGCCAATGCAAAACTAGGGAAACGCCAGCAAAATCACACATGCAAACAAACGGGAAAAATCCATTCAGGGAGATAACAACTAACTACCTTCCAATAACAGGTGTTACCGAATGATCGATTTAGAGACTACCTGTTGCTGAACTTTTGATGGTGACGTTTCTCTGGGAATGAGCAATATTTTTATCTTACAGCATACTGTGATAATATAATATCAGCTGAAGGTCAACTTTGACCAGTTTTTTACCAAATAGAACGAATGTAACACAAACCTAGTATGTACTACCTTTTTCGTCCTTTTTGGATAAATACGTGTCAATGCGACCCTAATATTACACAGAAACGCAAACACACACATATGCACACTGAACTTCATGAAGCTATGAAATATATTCTAGTTTATTTCTTGTCACCGGATTCCGTGATCTCGAATAAAGACCTGTTGTCAAGACCACAGACTGTGCATTACGTAATACTGTCACGTACGTGTACATAGCGTTTCAGATCATCCGTACTTTGCAGCAATATCTTCTGGGAATCCGCTAAAGCATTTCTTTTGGCAAACCCTTTCTTTTATTACCTCCGGATGTAGTTGGTTAGGTTTCCACAGTCTTATATGATGTATGCTGTGACAACCGATACAGATCCGCCTGCACAATTCAAGTGTGTCACTGGCTTCCAAATCAGACGTCAAAAACGTGACTTATAACACATCACGACAACGAAAAACACGGTTCTATATTGGTTTGCTTATACATGGAGCTTTGCATACGGCTAGCCGATGAATATACGCATGGTCTAACACAATTAGGAGAACTTTGAGGTAAGTAGTAGCCTTTAACAGAGCCGTGCTACAACAGTCATATCGCTAGAGTATATTTATTCTGAGAGGACAGACGGGTTCTGTCAGACGATAGTTTCTTCTATAGGGAACGCCAACACGCCACCGCCGTTACACGCCGAGTACACGTCGGGAAGTTCATTGGGTTCTTCTTTTTCAGTCCCTTTCAGGCACGTGGGTCCCCTGGCGCACGTCTTTCGGGCCCTGTCCCATCTTTCTCTTACTATCTTTCTTTTTCTTCTCCATTTAGAGCACTTCTTTGTCAGACAGAACGTCACGAAAACTACTACTCCAAGCGACAAGACGGAGGACACTGAAGCTATGATGTACTTTCTGTAAAGGTTGATAATGCTACCACCCCTGCTGCCCGACACTGAGGCGTTTTTGATGTTTATCGTTGTTGGCTCCGTCCTTCTGTTGTCCGCACTGTCCCGTGTAGGAGCCGGAAGCGGGATCGATTTTTGGTCGCTCTGGAGATCCATTTCGTCCTGTGTGTTGAAGATCCTGGAATCGACGGTGCATATCCTCGGGTCAAGGCGATCGTCCAGCGCGTCCTCCTCCACTGGCATTTCCGTGGCAGAAGCGATGGGGAGGATACTTCCCGTGACGTTCAGTATGGTGTCGAGTGTGGTAATACCTGCCTGGTTTTTGGCCACGCAACGGTACATCCCAGCGTCGGCCGTGGACGTGTTGGTAATGTTCAAGGTGTTGTCGTGTGTCAACTTGATCCTGACCCTGAATGAACCCCGTTTGACTTTGGTGCCGTTGGGAGTGATCCAGCCGACGTTCGCCTCACGACTGGCCCTGCACCGCAAGGTGGCGGTCTGACCAGTGCTCACATTCACACTGACTTTTGGTTCCATTATTTTCGGTGGAAGACACTTCAGTTTGTCCAGAGGGGCTTCACATAATAAACTGTTTTGCAAGGACGAGGGATATGTACACATCCCGCACAAATCTCGTTCCTTCTCTCGTATGTTCTCACGTGACCATCGAGCTAGCCACGTGATCTCGCAAGTGCAACGCCATTGGTTGTCTCTCAGGTTGACCTTAGTAATAGAGGTCATTCCAGAAAATAAGCCAAACGGAAGGGTCTTCAGCGAGTTATTAGAAAGATTCAGTTCAGATAAAGCTGTAAGATCGTCGAAAGAATTCTGTTCAATTTGAGTTAGTCTATTTGAAGACAAAACCAGTATCCTAAGATGAGTAAGTCCTTGGAAACTGCTTGCAGCAATGAAGGTCAAATTGTTTTGAGAAAGATCCAGCTTCTCCAGTCCGTACAGATATTGCATGTAAGGCACAGCCATGAGGTTGGAGCCGACCATGTTCAGATTGATCAGTCTGTGTAACCCTGCGAATGTTTTCCTCGAGAGCGCTCTGAGATGCGTCAGTCTTTCCAAATCGAGAGATCTCAGAAATGGAATCGGAGAGAATGCCTCCTTTCCGATGCAGACAATTGGGTTTTTACTCAACAAAAGAGTTCTCAGATTCCTCAAACCCGTGAACAGTGAGGATGACACAGAAGTCAACATATTCACAGATAGATTCAGCGTTTCAAGCCTGAGGAGTCCTACGAACGTATCGTCTGCAATGTTGTTGATTTTGTTCGCGCTCAGATCTAACGTCTTCAAATCGTGCAGGCGGCGGAAGGGTCCCGGATGGAGTCTGGCTAAGAGATTCCCCCGTAAGTTGAGGGTGTTGGCGCCCACAGGAACCCCGTCGGGAATGTACGTCAGACCGTTGTTGTTACAGGAGACGGTGTGGTCGGGGTTGTTATAGGTCCCGCCACAAGAGCACGACTTTGGACACGGCAGCAGTTCCACGGATCTCCACAAGACAGCCAACAACACCACACGGACCGTGCTGTACGACTGGAAGGACAATTTGGACACCATTTTACACGTATTATACTTTTGCAGGTGGCGGTCAGATCACCAAGGTCAGATCCAGGTCATTTATGTGACAAAGGTTATACGTTGCAGTTTGTGTGCATCATCGTCAGTTTGTTTTGTGTTAAACCTTGGGTGTCCCGGCATGCATCACGTGTCTCTCCACCTCCACACGGCATCTAATGGTGTGCTATATCCTCATATGATCCAATTACTATTCTGCTTGATCATTGGGCGTCAAAAGTTTCACCAAAATGTATTAGGTCAGACAAGCAGTCCTGCCTGTCTCTTCAGTATTCAGCGTCGCCCTGCTATGTCCTTGATGACCGGATTATATTTGTCCTTGATGTTGGTGTGGCTGCGTCCACGTTAATATCAGAACATATTGCAAATTACGCACGCAGCATTCCTGCCCGTCCCTCTTGTCCATCCATCTCTGTGCGGGGCTGCACCAAAGGTTGTCTGTCTTCTAATAATGATGGCCTTCACGCCTGGCTGTTTTCTTATCAACGACCAGGAGCATCTATCTCAGTTTCACGTCTGTTCCCCGGAGGTAGCTGCCACCGTGCAGTCCCGTCCGACGCCGTGATGGAGCGAGGAGAAAGCACCAGGCCTCCGGCTGGAACTGTTATTCTGGAACGAGACGATAAAGTATTGTCAGTTTCTCGACGGAGAAATAGCACTTTCCATCTGCCTGGTGAAAGCTGGGTGTCAAAAGGTACATTTCGTATTCCGTAATGGTCTCAAACGTTCGCATGCCATGTCAAAACGATTATATTTCCTTCATTTTTTTTTCAAAAATAAGGGGCACAATTTTTTAATATTATTCAAAAGACAAAGTGACGCTGCCCTCAGATTGACCAATTTATTTTGCCAGCGCCACAAGTGGCTCAATTGTGAACCAGAAATGAAAAGGAACCCGGCTCTCGTTCAAGCCATGGTGTATTTTCCATTAGTAGTGCCTGCAGCATATATTAAACCAACACTTTAAACCCTGTTTACAACCCAACAACGATAACAGAACTGATATCGTTCTGAAACGTAGAGCGAATCTGCACGACTGTCTCCACCCATAAATGGCAAGGCCAAAAGTATTATTTTGCAAGCAAAGAGCCCTGTAACGGAATTAAAAAAAAAACTCAATACAAGAAGGATGGAGTATGCGATCAGTAGTGAATCTATGTAATACCTCACGAGCTATGTAACAATATACGTCACTTCTGGTATCAGGAAGAAAATTGGACCACACTTCATCCAGGGTTATCGGGCTGGAAATAAAACGCTACATTATAGGCGAGGCCCTGCTGTGTGGTCTGAGTAAATTGTGGAGCAAAGCTGAGCTATCACTCAAAACCAGCCGACTTTATACGAGCCTAAGAACCGAGAGACAGACGGTGCGGAGTAAATAGACAGGCAGATTGGCCATGTTTTCTCAGGCTTACTCCGGCCGTGGTGCTGAAATCGCAGTGGTTCTGTGAAGGAAGCACTCCGTCATCATCAGAGGTCGTTTCCACCTGTGGTGTGTTGATATGAACATATCTGACAGTCTGAGGGGGAGTTTCAACTGAAGACTTATCCTACAAGCCAAACTGGTGAACATCATTATCATCTTTACAGCGTGCTGAATAATACACATGCTGTATTCAATGTCAAATGAAAATCATAGTGAAAAGGGCGGTGTATGATGCAGCAGAAGTATACTTACATTCACCTACATAGAACACATCCCTGGTACCCGTTGATGACGTATTATTGTTAAATAGACTAGGGATCTACAGCCAAGCAGAAGTAGTGCACCAAATATTCAACAATTACGACTTTCAGCATTACTGTCCTGCTACCTAAGCACTATGCGTTCCCATTTCCTCAAAATAAGTATGCATGAATGTGGAGCTAACGGTAACATAGTTAACCCAATTCCAAGTCATAAACGCATCGTAAAATAGTTTTCTGTGCCAGATCATCCCATGGTGCCTAATCAGGGAGCAACGTCCACATTCTATACGACCACCCTAGAGTCAGAACTTAACTAGCGCCACGTCTATTTCTGTATGTATTATGTTAATGTTGATTACCTCCAGGTACGGAGGTATTACTTTGGGTTTGTCTGTGGGTCTGCTTTCCCAACAGAGATGGTTGCAAGGAGAGTGGTTGGATATTTGGTTACTTGAATGACAGGGATATTAAGCCCGGATGGGAGTAAGTGGGTGGTATGAGGAGGAATTCAGGAAATAGTTGACTGCGTGTAATACCGTATGAAATCACGTCAAACATCTCCCATCCACATAGTTCTAATGCATTCACCAAAACCCACGACACTTCCCGGACGTCTGAAACCATCTCTTTCTTGTTGTTTTTGATATTCTGTCTTCATATTGATTTTTTAATGTGCACAATGAATGTGCGCAATTGTCTGTAACCAATAATCATAGTCACGTTACTGGCTCATATGCTGCAAGATCAATGCATTATATAGATGAACAAATGCCTGAATGAACAGACAAAAATACATATCATCGAGCTAATTTTCTGATCATGTCCGTGTATTGTATTGGAAGGGTGTGTATCCACAGTAATGAATAAAACAAGAAATTCACAAAAGCTGAAGGAGGTTTGAAAACTCCGATTTCTTGTTCCATATAAAGTTAACTGCACAGATTCTTGAGGCAATGCGCGCTCATGTAGTACAAAACAGGGCTACTGTTTTTTATGACTTAAATATCGGGGAACATCCAGAAACGTATTAGGAAATGCGTATTTTATATGACACCGGGAACGTTATATATTTTATACCAGCAACAGCTCTTTTGCCAAAATGACCTCTGTAACATTGTAAAAGGGAGCAGCGGCAGCTTCCGTTACCTTTTAAACCTCTGGGTGATTTAGGCCTAGGAAAAACGTCGTGTTTCCAGTTTACCGACCGACACTAGCAAAAGCCAACCGACCCTAGCCTTTTGTTGTAGGATGGGTTGACTGCTGGCAAGGCTATAAAGTTTTCGATCTGACATCTGAATTTCAGACCCTATGAAACTTCATTTCACTCACTTTTAGAAGCAAACTTTTGGATGAAATATTAGTTCCTTCCCACAAGCAAACAAAGAAACGGGTCCTTGAAACAGCCCTGGTTCTGATGCATTTCAGTTTTACATCTTAAAACTGCATCTAAACAAACAACAGAGACTCCCTACCGACCCGATTTTTTCCAGGATTGAAATCACAAACACAACACCAATAGTTCAGCGACACGCTAGAAATGGCATAGCTTATGCGACAGACACGAAGTCGTTACCGTAAGACCCACGTCACCGATAAAGCCCACAACATTCATTTTCCGGCGCGAGGAATCAGCCAAGATAACACAGGACCCTCGGGACACCTGTCCATTTGCCGCTCACGTTGATGGATACGCTAACTTTAATCATAACAATTTCCTTTTGTGCGGCGCCATTGATGTTGACAGGAGTTCCCGCAGTACATTCCCGTGCGCCTTTTGTTCTTCAATCCTATGGAAAGTAGTTTTGGTGCTATGTGTCACAGATTAAGTGTTACAAGGCGCATATAGGATCAGTTTTGTGGCTCCGGAAAGCAAAGAAACGGTGAGAATATAACTAGCCAGAAATGCGTCTTCCTGTGAGAGAGCCCGCTTATCATCCAATATTTCAAAGTCTCTTTCCAGTCACTACTGAGATACATGTAGCTATCGACCAATTTTCTTTGCGTCTACCGAAATGTGATACAAATATCAGTTGCTGGTAAGGACTGTTATATTACGTTCCATTAGTATAAGGGCTATATCTTGTGCTAGGAATAGGCTCTCTAAAAGGAGGTTAAATCCAAGTCATGGACCCAACACTAGACTTTACATTTATGGCTGTGTGGCTATGAATGTTACAGTAAGTAGTTTTGCAACAGAGGTATCGGAGTTATGTGCAGTAGTAAAGCCTGGTTTGACGGCGCTAGGGTATATCTAGTGAAGATCTCTGACTAGATGCCGCTGTAGGAGGCAGAATATATGCATGTACAAAAAGTAATAGGCCATAACCTTGTGCATTTCCTTGTTCCCGGGAGGCCCAGTCGTCATATGCAGAAGGCATTATACGGCAGAACTATACATTCCCATTTCCACTTCCATCTGAAATATCATCAGATCTTTTGAGCGAAGGATAAGCGCACGGAACCATGATTTAAAGTGCATAAGCGCCAGGAAGATTGAATGGTTCTATGCAGCGATGTCTTCCCATAATTTACATGTAGTCTGCAAATCTTTGGCTTAGGTTTATTTTTCAATGAGTGCAGGTAAGTTCATACTCTCCAAGCAGAGGTGTGGGTTGTGGGGGTATTTTTAGCATGTTTTTAGGCTTTTTTATCGGGGTTTCTCAAAATACCCCCAAAACCCACACCTCTGCTTGGAGAGTAGTAAGTTCAGGCAACAGAGTGAACCTACATTTTCAATACAGCTGTATACGTAACAGTGGAAGTTTCTTGGAATGTTTGATCAGTTCAACATGAAAAGCGAAGATTTCATACCTCCGTGAGGTATTCAGAGTTGTTTTATTCATTAATGTGAATTTCATACTGATTCTGTCTGTCTGTGCATTTCCCACTCACCGGTAGGAGTCAGTGGGAGAAATTCAGGAAGTGGCATAATACCCGATGAATTACATCATACACTTGCAATATATTCAAGAAAACTCCAAACACTTCAAAACACTTGTGATCTTAAAGGTCATGAAAACGCAAAATACTGCCCGGATGCCTGAAACCTTCGATTTGCTATTGTCTGGTGCAAGCATTAGTCAGGACTATGGAGTGGCTCAACCCAAGTAGCAATGAAGTACCGCATTAACATGGACAGCTATAATACATTGAAAAGATTACACCTTCTCACTCGCTTTGAAATGTCAACGGAAACATTTCACACCGCGTATGTTCAAACTGCGAATGACTCAATCCGTCTTGACCAACGTTTCACTGATGTTTTGCTGGCAGGACGTCAGGAAGGATAGATGAGAAACGTTAGAGGAATACGGGCTTTATTTCCCTGTGAGATTTTAGGTCATCACACGGCTACGGTAATCAGTTGATGGAATCAAGGCGTCGCTTTCGAGCGTTCGGAAACGGTAGGCGTTTCTGGAAGACTCTTGTTGTACCCAGAACTGTACTTTATCCAGAACCATGCTCAGGAACGGTTCTGAACCGTACTTGGAGCAAATGTCAATGGGAAATCCTTTCTGAACGATATTTCTAATTATATCATTGTGTGATTGGTCCCATCCTCACCAAGCTATACCGACCAAACCCCTTTGACAATCAGCCAGGCTCGGTAGAGAATTTCTGGGTCTTCTCACAGTTCCCGTCTCATTTGTAAGGGATTTGACTTTCATTCAACACGGGAGACTATGAAATAGAATTCATGCCACAAAAGCTAAGCCTCTGCTCGTTGACTTTACAGTCGAAGGCTCGAGGGCAATAACAAGAAGGCGAGGGAAGCGTACTCTCACCTTTGTACTGCAAACCTCTATTTGTTACCTCCGGGACGGAAGTATTGTTTCGGGAGGCGCTGGTGTAATACATTGTACCTGAGGTGTAATACCGGGAGTGAGTTACGTCATACAATCGTATGAGTACAAATC